ATTCAATTGACAGTTTGAATATTTCTTTGAGTAAACTTGTTAATCGTGTTGACATTAATTTCCGTCATTCTGTGATTACTTCGCCAGAATAATGGTTTAACTTTGCTAATGTTGAATTGATTACAGTAGATTCTTGCTTAAAGTAAAAATGTGAGTTAAACTTCCAGTAAATTCCAGCAAGATGGCGTTCTTTTTACCTAGGCACCTTAAAAGCTGTCGATTGGCCGATCGACCAAGAATATGCATCACGCGAGAATCTACTGTATTTCGAATATTATTTTAGCAAAAAATCGCTTTGATAAACTCGCAATCGCTATTATTATCAACTAACTGTCGGATGACTAAAGTAAAGATGGAAGTTAACGTTTTAACAATATCAATGGCTATCAGTAACTTTGACAAGTAATATATTGATATAGACATTGATAACTTTACATGAGACGAGAGATTATGCATTGGCATAAAATCTGTTGAAATGAAAAGCCCTGACTATAACTTTCCCTGTCCAACTCTGGACTAAAGATTTATTTAAACAGCTAAACATTTCTAAATTTAGACTCGAAGCTGAGTTGATTCATTGATTTATTTTGCCTTATAACTGTGACAACAGATTACATTTGAAACAATTTATCATTGTCAAAAGTTGCAACTAAAGATGTCTAAACTTTTCATTTCAAGTTTCATCTTGAAGGATAACCTAAGATTATCACATTATTATTGCAACAACGATTTGTATTGATGGTTATTCTGATTATTAAAGTTGCTTTGATTCTTATGGACAGTTTATTCAACTTGAAATGATCTTTGGTCACTGAAAGGTGCACAAAATTCGAGTCGACTCAATGTAAACATTCGAACCTTTTTGGCCTATTTTGTATTGAAATTTATGAACTATATTTTAACTCTTTTAACAAATGCATTTCAATAATTATTCACTGCTAATATTGACTAAAGTATCTCATTAGTGGGCTAATTATGTAAATCTCAAGAGGATGAAACTTTGAATAATACCGATTATAAAATGTGTTGCGTTTTTTTCAAGATAAATTGCCTTTGCGTTTACTTTTTTGAATTAATTTCTTAACAATTATTCAACTAAATTATCTCAATCATAAACATGTAAAATGAAGTTTCAAAATATCACATTATCATGAAATTGTTGCCCTGAAAGTGTATTAAAACCAGACAAGACTGCCTAATGAGTTTAATGTTATCAATTGTTTATTACTTTATTGTGATCAATGATAATTTCAATGTTGATAAAAGGACAATGGTTCAGGAAAATTAATTAATATGAAACTATTCTCATCCCTGGTTTCATCCCAGTCAGATAACATGAAAAAAATGTATCACTTGTCATGTATTTATTGCATGAATAAATGAGTGGTAAATGAAACAATTATCTGAATACTGCAAAAATCAAATGCAGTTGATGAAGCATTAAAAAGTGTAACAAAAACTTCTGTCACTGAATAAAATGTTGATATCAGTCTATTGTATAGTGAATGTGCTTCAAACTCAGATTAATTAATTTAATTAATGATTTAAACTTGGCTTGCAAGATGAATCTATCAAATCCTTGATTGGACAATTTACAGATTCAAAGATTGTAAGGCTATTCAGAGGAATTGCAAAGGGATTTCATTCATTTAAAAAACTATTTAAAATTAATTTGATGAGATAAAGTGATCAAGTAAAAGCTCGTCAATTCAATGGTCAACATTTCATGTGCATTTCATGATTGGTAAAACTCACAAAAGTCTATTTGAGTCAGTCTTGGAAGTCTGATCTTATTTGATTAGCAACATTTTACGTTAAATTTGAAGTCAATTTTGATAAGTGCTGGATTCAATGGTTGGGTAAATTTTCACTCTTAAGTGATTGATTTATTAATACGCCAATGTAATTGTAACATTTTTCAAAAGATCCATTGTTTCATTATCCACTTGTTTTTCGAGTAATAACATGAAAGTGTCAAATTCTCATGATGCTTCATTTCTGGGAATCATCTTTGGTACAAAACGATATTCTGTTTCTTTTCAAAAATTCTGTCAAATTTATAAATCATTCATCAATTCTTGATATCTCGTGATTGAATCACAACTCGAGTGTGTTTTGAAGTTGAGACTCGATATCAACAGTTCATTTTGATAAACTTAAAAGTTGACAAAAAAGTTGACTTTCAAGAAAGTTTACCTTTTAATAAGCATATTATAGCCTTTAAATGCTATTAATATTGTCGCTAAAAATTGATTTGAAAAAATGATCGATTGAAAGGATAAACTTTATAAGCAATAAAAACTTTATCTTTTCAGTTGGTCATGAAGCAGTGAATGTGCCATAATAAAAATTGCAAATAAAAATGAAAAATTCATAAACGAATAGCATTTGTGAATAAAACTGTGAATTTGAAGTAAAGTGCAATAACTCGATGAGACTGAATTGTACCTTTGCAAGTTGCAATTGTATTACTGGGCAAAGCTTTAAAGTCATTTGTCGTTTTTGTTTGTCAACTTTTCAAGTTTCCTTTAGCCTGTCAAATTGAATCCTCATGAAAATTGTTCCAAGAAGCTGTGAATGTCAATCTTATTCAGATAGTAGGATTAGAATGTGAAATATTGTCCTTGTCTTTCTTGTAATTTCTGTTTTTCTTTACTCAACTTTTCCACCAATATTGAACTTGTTCATCGTAACTTGAAAAAGGTAAACTTGTTGCAATTTTTGCATTTGTGTTGCTAATTTGTCTGAGAATAGGGATTTGAACGTTCTCACGTTAACATTGTTACCTGTGCTATTGAATGATAAATAAGATCATGCTGCTTCTTCCACCAGGTTAACCTGAATTGTAGGAGTCTTTTTCCCTCTCTTACTCTTTACCTTCCTTAAAAGCCAATTGTTGCCTTTTGTTATTAGTTCATCAACAAAAATGAAGATGATGAAGATGATACACTTGAAACGTGTTTTCCTGTTGCTCATTTTGTACTCATCTATTAGTTATAATATCAAGTGAAAAAGGAGAAGCATCATCATCATCATCAGAAAATGTTTATCATTATTGTTATTTGATAAGATTGCTTCTGATGAGATGAGCAACATTTCTTGTTATTTAACAATCATTTTTACCATTCATTTCAATCATTACAAAGCTGCTTAAACCAACAGTTGATTTAAAATTTTCCCAATTTACTTTATTGGCTGTTTTAGTTTCAATGACAACTCAACTCTTTATCTCTTAATGATACTTCATTGAGATTGTTGTTAAATCATCATTCATCTTTACAATTAACCAGAATATCCAACTGTGATTTATTGTCTCAGTTGATCGTCTTTTTTCAGGTTAATTTTCATGCTTTATCATACATTTCCTCAATATTAGGTGAACTTTTTTTGCCATTTTTTCACTTCTTTGCAAATCAATTGGCCAATTTATTTGTAGAGTCACAGTTGATCGTTTGAGAAAAATTCATTTCTATGTTAATCAGCTTTGTCTTTATGCTTTTTAGTTTGTTGGTTTGATTTTGATCCATTGAGGCGAATTGAATTCATTTAATTTGGTTATTTTGCTGGAACCAAGAAAATTTGGTGAAAAAAATAATATTCTGAAGCAAAGAAAAAAGCAGCTCCTGAAACTGAATCAAAATGAATTTGAGAAGGAAAAAAAGTTAACTCCAAATCAATGATAAATTGATTTTCTGGTAAATATAAAAAAATACACATTTGATTGAATTCACTTTTCCGTATCTCATGAGCTTCTAAAAATATGTTTTTGTATCACTTGATTGAATTCATCATGATTAGTGGTCATCAGGTTGTCCAGTAAAACACTTCAAGCTTCGTTAAACCGGATAATTTTCAATGAAGGACCAGAAAAAAAGAGTATCACAAAAAAAGTGGAAAGTTTGGGTTAAACTTGTCATATCGATCCATAAGGTTTGACGAAACCTGAAAACCTTTACTTGCTATTTTAATCAAAAAGTTACACTTTATTCACTTTTCAATATCTGTTATCAATCGCAACAATTACAAATGTAAATCTTTACTGTTGATCTTAACTCAACATTTAAATTAGACCAAGTAAAGGTCATTTTTATTTAGTCAAAACTAATTAAAATTGATTCAAGTTGACCTTAAGTGGTTAAGAGTAAATCAGATTTAGCTGTTTTTACAGTTAATTATGACATTCGGTTAAATTGTTTGCTGTTAATTGTAAGGTTAAGTGATAGTTAAACCACTGCATCGAGAAGTTATGAGATATAAACTCGAGGGCGAAGCCCGAGAGTTTTATCTCATAGCTTCGAGATATTGTGGTTTAACTGATTTAAACCACTATGTAATCTAATCTCAACACTTTTTTTCAATTTTCAAGACACAATTTTGTCTTGATTTTCCATTGCTTTCAATGGGTTTTCCTATTTTCATTTTAGGTTTCTTATCATTTTCATTTTAATTTTTGACTTTTTTATCAGGTCTAATCATTCTCATTATCACTGTCTTTAGAGCAAACTGTGCATTTTAGTTAACAGTGTTAGTTAACCATCAAGTTAACCAATTTCAGAAAGGCATCAGTTTATACAATTTAATCATTTGATTAAATACTGGTTACCCTAAACGTAGTGGTTTAAACTCTATTAATGAACAAAAATACAAATTTCTCTTTAATCATTACAATTACCAGAATAAATTGTAACTGTAAATGTAAAATCCAATAAAGGGTAAAGATGTTAATGGCCATTTTCAATGTACAATGTTTAAAGTGCATTATTGCGAGCGATTAAAAGGATGAAATTAGCAAGATTAAAAGTTAAAACAAAGATGATGATTAAAACCAAACCCTTTTAATTCATTGAAACAATAATCTAAATTCATGTTTTCCTCCCTCTCATGTTTATAATAAACCATAACAATTATCATCATTATCACCATCATCATTTTCACTCTGTAAGAGCTTATAACTTATTCATTTTCTTGTTTTCTTTCTTGTTCATTAAATTATCCAACAGCAATTAAATCTAAATGGTAACCAGTTTAAAGACGTACCTTATCCATCTTTATCTCAACTGCGTACCCTTAAGGTACTTGGCTTGGCATCTAATCGTCTAACGGAACTTACAGCCGATGATTTACCAAAATCTCTGTCCAACTCTTTGAGAACTCTTAACTTGACTGATAATCGATTGACCAACCTTTTACCTGGTTCTTTATCCCACCTAACCCAGTTGACTGAGCTTTACCTTGGCCATAACCAGTTGACCCATTTACGGCCCAATGCAATGGAAGGTTTAAATTTTCTTGAAATTCTTGATCTTTCATCAAACTTGCTGGACAATGTACCAATTGAAACACTGAATGGTCTTCGTAAATTGCGCAAACTGTATCTTGGCTCTAATCTGATTGAGATTCTGGAAAAAGATGGACTTGGTTTGGGTGATTTACCTTCACTTGAATACTTGGATTTATCACGAAATAATCTGGTTTCTCTTGGTGATCATCATGTTTTCACTGGTTTACCTCGACTTCGAACCCTCGACTTGTCCTACAACTCTCTTCGTAAGCTGGATCTTTCAGAGGAACAGTTGTTTGCTCCATTAACTAAACTGGAAACTCTTGATTTAACAGATAATTCACTTGAATCATTTCCAGTTCATCTAATGTATCCACTTACTTCTTTGAGGAAATTATTTCTCGATTACAATCGGATAACTGAATTAACCGAAGAATCGGTTCTCTCGATTGGTTCCTCTCTTGATGAATTATCAATGGCATACAACAGGTTAACATATTTACCCAGTTACCTCGCTTCAAAGAGTAAAAATCTTCGCCTTTTAAACCTTCATGGCAATGGTATTGCTTCTGTCAGTCAAGACCTTTTTGATCCCATTGCTGAAGCCATTCTAGGCCTAGACTTGGGTCTTAATCAACTGACTCAGTTACCCAGGTTAACCTTTCCTCGTCTTATGATACTTAACCTTGCCAGCAATGAATTGTCAACCCTTGAACCTGATACACTTATTGACCTTCCTTCACTGCGACACTGTAATTTATCTCACAACCTGTTTAGTTCACTTTCACCATCTCTTTTCACTCGAAACACTCATCTTGAAGTAATTGATTTGTCTGCCAATTTAATTGAAAAACTGGACGAAGGTACATTTACCAATGGATCAAGCTTTACCATAATCAATTTGTCCAAAAATAGAATCAAAGAGATCTCATTGGGAGCCTTTCAAGGGCTCTATCGACTCCATAAATTGGATCTTTCTTACAATGAACTTTCAACTCTCAAGCCAGGCACTTTTAATGAAACACCTTCACTAAAGACTCTCAAGTTGTCCTTTAACCGGTTAACTTCATTGAAGGGCGAATACTTTACTCCTAGAACTCGCATTGAAACTCTCGACTTGTCGGACAATTCCATTTCTTACCTTTATCCAAACAGTTTTACTGGTCATCGTCGGTTAAAGACACTGGACTTGTCTCGAAATAAACTCTCCTATTTTCCAGCAGAGATACTCGCTGGTCTACGACACTTGACTAGCATCAATTTATCAAGCAACAAAATTGCTTCTCTGGACTCTTCTGATTTCGCTAATATGCCTTTCTTAAGATCTCTTGACCTTTCCTTTAACGGATTAACCTACATTGGACCCAATTCATTTTCAAATTCAACCCTACTTTATACCCTTGATTTGTCTGGCAATGCAATTGCCTCACTTGATAGAGCAACTTTTAAAGGTTTAACTCGATTAAGGTTAGACTTGTCAGACAATCGGCTCAACTATTTGCCCAGTGAAATGTTTTCACGATCATACCTTTCACGACTGGAAACGATTAACCTTTCACATAACAATTTCACCATTTTCCCTCTGGAATCTCTTTCACATCAATATTTAAATTTACAATCGATTGACCTTTCATACAATAGTTTAACCACTCTTCCATCCAATGTTAATTTAATGGTAAACATTAAATCACTCGATGTTTCCAATAATCCCTTGACTCCAGAGGCTGTAACTTCACTCTTGTCTGAACCCAAAAGCATAAGGAATCTCAATGTTGCCTTTACTGGTCTAAACAGTTTACCTTCAATCATGGAAACTCCATTCTTACAAAGCCTCAACATTAGCGGAAATAATATAACCCATTTAAAGTCATCAACTCTTCAAAAAACTACTCTCCTTGAAACATTTGATCTTTCCCGAAATGAACTCACTTCGCTGGGTAACTTGATAAATGGCCTTAAAACTTCAACCAGCGATTTACGAGCACTTTATCTTAATGGCAATCCTTTATCTTCTATTCGTAAAGATGATTTCAAAGAATTCAAATCATTGGAAATTTTGGACATTTCCAATTTAACGGCTCTTTCAAACTTGGATTGTAGCTCATTGGTTTCACTGGTTAATCTACGAACTCTTTACATGTATGGTTATCCTTCGCTCGAAAGTTTATCTATTCAAGAGTGTCTCGCTCATCTGTCAACTAAACTTGATCGTCTTGGTGTTGAAGTAAAGGAAGACCATCTTCAGGGTCACCTTCAAAAGGCCTTTTCCCCTCGTTTAAATGAGATTCTCATTACGGGTAGCAAGTTGACTTCACTCTCACCCAGCTGCTTGAATGGACTCAAAAGTTCAACCCTTAGTCTAACTCTTACAGATACCTCGGTATCCCTTATACCAAGTAACTTGTTCAGTCCTCTTCCAATGTCTACTCGAATCGATTTTACTCTCTCATCAAATGAAATTTCTTCACTGAATGGTAAATTCCTCGATTCTTTGGACATTAAACCAGTCAACATGAAAATTTACGGTCTTCCTGCCAACCCAATTGTATGTGACTGCAGTCTTGAACCATTGTATAAATGGTTAGCTGAGAAAATGTCTCGTCTTAATTGGTTCCAAAATGAACTGCCTATTGATTCAATAGACAAGTTGACCTGTTCTGGACCCGAATCTTTGAGAGGCTATCGTCTAATTGAGCTTACACCAGAAGATTTAACATGTGGTGATATATTGAGTGAATCATCTGTAGATTCATCATCAATCTCATCTTCATCCTCTTCATCTTCATCTTCAATTACATCAACAACTGAAATCATCTCTGAACCAGTTACACTGGCCACACCAGTTACACCAAGGAAACAACCAAATTCAAACAAAAAACCAGAAATTATTTTCCAATCAACCCGTAAACCTAACCACCATTCATCTTCATCATCAGTCAATTTACGAGGAATGATTAAACCTCGAACTCACGATCCAACCCATCGACGAACTGCACTAACCAAAGTGGACACAATGATTATTGGAATAGCAGCCGGGGTTATTGCCTTTGTCTGCATACTGATACTCATAATTTGCGTCATTCGAGCACGATCACCGTCAACAATGCCACTCGATACAGCCTACAACACCGCTTACCATGGTCTTGCCGGAGCTGGTGGCTTATCAGCTGCAGCTACTTTAAGAGCTCCTAACGCCTGTACATGTCTTAAGTCAATGACTTGTGGTTCATGTTATGTACCAGGAATCACCAACTCCAACAGTAATGGAACCCTTCGCCCAAGTCTCACCTACTATGGTAATGAGACTCTTCGTCCTGTGCCAATTAAAATGCTCTCATCCACTGGTACACTTGGTCGTGGAGGTAAAGCACCCAGTTATTACATCTCATACCCAGACATGGATACGGACGGGCACAAGTGAATCAACAAATCAATAAATGAACAAATTTGTTAATCTACATTAATTTACTCCTTTTTGTACGCTCACGCACCATTACTTCTTATAGCTTCTAGTTCGAAGCCATTAAGAAGTAAAATTATTTTTGTCAAACAAAATTGAATTAGCAAAAATTTTAAATTGAAACAATTTTCTAGTTTAAATCCTTCAACTGCGTCATTTCCATCAAAGACTTTTTCTAAATTTTTTTTCGTTTCAAAATATTTTGTATAAAGACTAATTCTGGGAATGGAAACATATTAATAAATTGTAATATATTCGTTTTGTTTTTCACTGTTGTTAACAAAAAATTAACCTTTGCTTTTAACAAAAAGCATTGGTAATACATTACTATTAAACTTGAAAATGAAGCTTAAAAGTCTATGTCTAAAGCTTAAAGATCATTGAATAAAGTCAATGTAACAAATTTTGTGTCAAACTGAGTGGATCCTGTGAAAAATTTTATTCAAATACAACCACAAAAATAGGAAATCTCATTTCAAAATTCAGATCTCTGAGAAATTCGTAAAATAGAGCCTGAGGAAAAATACAGAAACCGTATTCTATAGCATTGAGTGAAGGCGAATATTGGTTGATGGCTTATTTTTGAATTAGGGGTAAATGTAAAACTTTGTCTTTCGAGTAAAAGACTGCAAAATTTAATACAAAATCTGGTGCTTAACGTTCTAACGCCTTAGTTCTTTACTCAACTCGAAACGCTGACAGGAAAATGTTTTTGATGTTGATAGAGATTCTTGGTCATCCAACTGCGTATTAACATTTGCACAACTGACCATAAACTCTGTCTTAAAGTATTGAAGTGAACAATTTAATCAAAGATGCATGCTGATCAAGTCTAAAGTAAAGAGTTTACCATTCTTTTAGTGACTATTGCCGTCAATCTTAAAATTCTTTTAATTTCCACCTTTTATTTTATTACAGTCACCTACTGTTCGATTTGATTAATTGCAACTCTGTTCATTCAGCACCATTTCCATCTCTTCTCCACCTTCACTTTTTCACGCTATCATCATCACAAGTACAAAGGCTCGGTGAGAAAACCAACATTGCGACAGAAAATTGACGAAAGGAAAGGCGAGATCGTATGACTGAAAGAGCCATAAAGGCACAATAATTGGAAAAGCTTGTGAATTTAAAGTAATTTTAATGGCAAAAAATCCAATTTTTGCTCCAAATTAAATTTTAAATGTTTCAACTTTAATGAAATTTTAGAAATTTTTGGTTTTTTCAAAAAAACAGTTGTTTTTAATTGACTTACAATACTTAAGCTATAATTTAAATCTGAAGAAATGAATGCGAATTTTTTTCCTCAACAAAATTTAACCATTTTTATTGAATCTCATTGTTTTTGTTCATAAACTGTCTTCCATGAAAACAATCCAATTGATTATGAGTATGACAATGATTGAATAAAATAAAAATAACTGTTTTACCAATGAAAGTAATTGGTCAAGTATTCAGTCTAAATCCAATCATCTTAACAATTCCATTTAAAGATTAACTGGTTTCGTTAATCCCATTTCTGGATCAACTGGACAATCCTTATTATCTTCCCATTTAACCAAAGTTTGACATTTCCCCAGCATATTACGAAATCGAGATTTGCGCTTTCTTCGTCGACTTTTCTTCCCTTCGTCATAAACAGGTGAAGCGCGAACCATTAAAGCAATCAAGACAACAACGTAAATTATCAAGACAACCTGAAAAATGATCAAGAAAAATGAAAACAGTTAATAACTGAATGTCCAAAAGAGTTCAATAATCGATATAACAAAGTAAAGAAAATTCGAAGAAACAGAAAAGGCAATTTGCTTCAAAACGTAACATCAAAACGAGATAAATCAAAGGACAAAATAGTCTCGTCCAATTGGCTCATGATGGATCGAGATTATTCATGATGCTCAAGTTCATCATCTTTGTCTTTAGTGAAATACCTCAGAAAACAACAGAAAATCAAATGTCGAAATTGTTCTTTTTTCTTATTGAACCATTTCGACAAAATGAAAGAAGATGAAGAATCGAAATTCTTGGCAAAAGGAAGAGCAAAGAAAGCATGAAATGTCATGAAGTTAATAGATGAAGCGAATCTGGTTTGGACAAAAAATTGCATTTAAATCGTTGCTCTGTGCATAATATGATGTTGATTCATTTTCAGGGTTCAAAGGAATGGTAATGATGATCATGATGAAGTTCATGGTAAGGATCATGAAGATTATGATGATAATAGGAGCAACAATGTTGTTACATGACAATTTCACTAGCCATTAAACAGCAATAAAAATTTGTTTCGTTCATCATTTTCTTTCTGCTGTTTTTTCTTCATGTAAAGAAGAGGGAAAAAAGAGGAAACCTTATTTTTCCATGAAAATAAGCAAACAAAAATGAAGTGAAACCTTCAGGGATAAAGTTGAATTAGTTTGTTCCGTTTAACAAGTTCAATATGAAACATCATCATTACCATGATTCTGCTAATTCCCTTCTTGGCATCTTCCAAGCTTAATTCAAATATCATGTTGCCAGTTAATTGAAATTATACTTGAAACAGTTTATCTTGAAGCTTCCTTCCAATCCCACAATTCAGCCTTACTCAAACCATCGTATCAAAAGGCATGATAAACAATTAATGGGAAAACTTTTCGCTCTTTTCGTTTCAATTAAATAAGTTGTTACTCAAAATGAGAACAAAGTTTCAAAGGTTTTCCATTTAATCAAGATGCTTCACTTATTTGGTTAAATTGTTTTAAAGGTAACTCCAAATGAGATTATCTAATTATTGCCTTTTCATTTTGTTTTGTCTTTAATTTCAAACGAAATTCAACTTTCCCAATTTCAAGCAATTCATTTGAAAATTACATTCGATCCAATGTTTCAACTCCATTGACCATTGAGCCTCGGTTAATAATTTATGCTTTAATTCAATGTGAGTTTATATTTTATTCATTAAAGTTTCCAATTTAGTCATTCATGGTAAAAGGCTAATCATGGAAAAGCTTTGAAACAAAGTTTCCGTGTTCATCTGAAAATTTTGTTCTACTTTTCACTTTAAATAAGTTTAGTTTCTTAGCATTTCAAATAATGCTTTTGGATTGAATGATTAATTTATGGTTTGGTTTGGGAATTCAGTCTTTAGATAATCACAATGATTAATTGAAATGCATTTGCTTTATAATCGATCCCAATAAGTTAAGCTGACTTAATTTTTTATATAATCTCAAGTATTATCTGGATTTTAAGATTCTAATTGAGCCTTTAAAGTCAAACATGAAATCTTTATTAGATTCAATCATAAGCAATCAAAAGATATTGATCAATAATCACTATTTGCTATTTGAAATAACTTTCATTCAATTCAATGTTTCAGTGTTAAAATTTGAACAAATTATGAGCTGAAATATCCTGTTTTGTTTTATTGAAATCATTCATTTTCTTGAATCTGTAGATTTGTATTTTCGAGTTGAGACTTTCACGATCAATGCCTTGGAATGGACAATAAATCCATTTAATCTTACTCGATACTCGACAAAGTCGCCAAAGTTCTGGTAAATACTAACGAATGAAAAGTGTTGAAGTAAAAAGGCAAAATATTTGCTGATCAAACTCCGAGTCAATCAAGCTTTTGTGGCACAAAATTCATTAAGCTTAAACTTCAATCATCAAAGTAAACATTGGAAACAATACTGTTTTTGTTCAATCCTATTAATTGACAAAAGCTCATTAAATTGGGATAAATGTTGATTAGCATTTAGCTTTGATTCACTTTTGGGAAATTAAAGTGAAATGTTTATTAGGATCAAATTAACCTTCATCATCGAAAAAAATAGTCTAGAAAATGTTGAAAACTCAACAAAAAGGCGCCTTTGGAGGTTGATTAATTTAAATCTCAAAATGAAAAACATTATCATCTAGCTTTTAATGTGCATTTCTTATGAGACATCAAGAATTTCTTCAGATAATTACCTCTTCAAGGTCAATTATGTGAATAACGTTACCCTGGAAGCGTCGAAAAATGTAGAGCAAAAGTTACAATTTTTGTTCCATGAATATCCAATAGCAATAATAAACATTGTAATAACATGAAGTTAGCTCCACGAGTTAAAAGTCATGAAAAAGTGTTTCACTCTTTCGATGGTCAAATTTATCATAGAAACTTCAACTCTCTGGACGAATTCAATTTTTCACCAAAAAGTTGAACATTTTGTCATTGATTTATTTTAAAACCTTGCAAAGCAATCAATACTTGGAAAAAGCAAAACAGAAAAGTGAAATTTATTCAGCAAATATTGCAATAAAAGTTGATATTTTTGGCGACATTTCATTTTGAAACTTCTTTTTCATCCCTCAATATGTATTATTAACAAGCGAATTGAGTTTAAAACAAAAACAGTAAAAGGGAAACGAAACAAAAGGCAACATTATCCATTTCAAGTAATGCATTTGATTGAGTTTCTGTTTCATTGAAAGTCATTTCCATGAATTTGAATGAAAACCTTTTAAACGGACTTTTGCAACATCTAAACCTGAAACCCAAAACTGACCCATTTTTAGATGGTTAATATTATTGAATTGATAGCAGCAAATGAAGTTCAAATAATTTAGAGGCTTTCCTTTACTTTCGATTCCAAGTTATTGCATCCAATGTAGTTTTGTGGTTTTACATTATTCAGTCGAAATGAAGAGAAGAGAGAAAAAAGTTTATTGAATTTTCCATGTTGATTGGATTGACTCTCAATGAGATTAACATTTTAAGCTCACATCGGTCCAATAACAAACATGAATTCGTGATAATTGTAGGAACAAATGAAACAAACAGAAAGCCTAATCTTTACTCTACACAGTTGAAGGTGAAAATTGTAACATTGAAAGAATCGAATGATCAAAGCTGGACAATTTAATGGCCATTGAAACGTTATCAGATAATCAATGTTATCAAGAGCTTTTTGCCATTGAATTTCCATTCAGTTCATTGTTGACGGAAATGTTTTACCTTTTGTGTCCATCTTTTTCTTCTCATCAACTTTCATTGTCGTTCACAAGACACAATGCCAACGATATGTTATTCTGTCCTTCCATTTCTTCTGATAACAATGAACATTTCCTTCGAGTCAATTGTACCTAAGGGAATATTTGTTTTCAATCCCTGACCATTGACTTTTCTCATTCACTTTCATCTATTATCTTCATCATGTTCAACCTGGAGAAGCAAAAAATGTCCAGATTTGTATGCCAAGCAAGATGAAAAAGCATCCAAACTGTCGACCATGAAAAATGGACGTTTCTTGTTCTTGTGGTTAAACATTGAGTTAATGATTCCGGAATGAGAAGGTGAAATGATGGGAAAAGAAATTTTTT